TTTTTAAAAGATACATGTTATTGAAATATAATTTATGTACAATGAAATACACAAAAATAAAGTAACATGTCAGTGCATTTTTTCTTTTCTTTTTTTTTTTTTTTTGTACTGTTCCCTCTCCTTCCCTCCCATTCCTGGTAAACAACAAAGTTTCCTTCCATATATAAACCTTTCCTTGACTTTTTACAATAATGAATTAATACTATATTTGTCCTTCTGTGATTGACTTGCTTCAGTCAGCATAATGTCCTCCAAGTTCTTGATGAACTGGGTTTTATGAATAGTTATTGTATAATGAAGACGGTGAAACTGACCAAACCACCTCTGGCCCAATTTGTGTTTTTCATTCTATGCAAGTATTTGTTAAAGGATCAGAATTCTAGACAATTAGATAAAATGGTTATCTGAATGAATAAGACCTTATGCTACAAAAGAGGACAAGACTAGGCAAAAGTTGTGATTGTGTTTTTGAATTCTTAAAAATGTTAATGGATGTTTTCAGGTAAACCCTGAAATAAACATTTTCTTAGATTTAATTTATTAATGTGGAAGATTTACATCTCAAAGACTTCTTTTCTTCAATAAATAAATACAAAGGGAAATAAACTAGAAGGAGAAACTATTAAAGATGAATCTAGGAAAACTGGAAGTTGTCAGAAATGAAATGGAATGTATAAAGATCGATATCTTAGGCATTAGTGAGCTGAAATGGACTGGTTTTGGCCATTCTGAAACAGACAACCATATTATCTACTATGCAGGGAATGACAAATTGAAAAGGAATGGTGTGGCATTCGTTGTCATAAAGAATGTTTCAAGATCTAGCCTGAAGTACAGTACTGTCAGTGATAAGATAATATCCATATGCTTACAAGGAAGACCAGTTAATACTACTACTGTTCAAATTTACGCACCAACCACCAAGGCCAAAGATGAGGAAATTGAAGATTTTTACTAGCTTCTGCAGTCTGGAATTGATCAGACATGAAATCAAGATGTGTTGATTATCACTGGTGATTGGAATGCAAAAGTTGAAAACAAAGAAGAGTTACCAGGAAGTTGGAAAATATGGCCGTGGTGATAGGAATAATGCTGGACATCACATGATACCGTCTTGCAACATAATGACTTACTCAACAACATAAGAGATGACTATACATATTGACTTCACCAGATAAAATACACAAGAATCAGATTGACTACGTCTGTGGCAAGAGGAGATGGAGAAGTTCAATATCTTCAGCCAAAACAAGGCTAGGAGCTGATTGTGGAGCAGACCATCAACTGCTCATATGCAAGTTCAAGCTGAAGTTGAAGACAATTAAAATAAACCCATGAAAGCCAAT